TATATATATATATATATATATATATACATATATATATTATTGATCTTCAATTAAGTGGTTGGGACAGTAGACTTGTCCAAAACTATAAAATTCTCCTTGGAGTTTGGAGGAGAAAAAAAAAGAAAAAAAAAAAGTGTTTACATGGTTGTTGTGGACAATAGCATTGTCCTCTCTGTTTACATGCTCTTAAAAAAATACCACATTCACAAATACCAGCCTCATATTATGAAGTTTCAAGTGTGCAGCTTTAGTGAGGGCGTCCAATTTCTCCCAGCATTCTTATCTCATTCTTTCCCTTCCTTCAAAGAGCATTTGAAACTAAATTTAGATCGAAGTAAATCCAAATATAATTTAGCAAAACTACAAAAAAAAAATAGAGAGATTATGCTGAACAGAGTCTTTCCAACTGTGATTAACAGAACACTGAACATGAAAGAGAATTTGAAACCTAGTTTAGATCGAAGCAAATCTCAATATGATCCAGTAAAGCTACAATAAAAAAAAAAAAGAATATGCTCAGTAGACTCTTATGAGGGTGGTGTGGTTACCTACTTTATTGCTATGTTGATCAGTGTTCTGTTTGTGAAAATGAGATAGACTGATTTGAGTCTCATATTCTCTTTTCTTGTAGCTTTGCTATATCATATTGGAATTTGCTTCGGTCTAAACTGAATTTCAAATTCTTTTTCATGTTCAATAATCTGTTTATCATATTGGGGTAGACTCTACCTAGTATATTCTCTTTTCTTACTAGGAATAGTTGATAGATCATATTAAGTCACAATGAAGTAGGCAACCCCTCGTAAGAGTTTCCAAAAACGACTTCAATTCTAAGAAGAATACTTAGAATAGTTCGATTCTAACCATCCTAATCTCTTTAATGTTCTATTTATCTATCCTTACAAAAACCTATAGATGCTCTTACAAGTACCTAACCCTTGACGATGAATGACAACTCCAAATCTAGTTGTTATAATCAGACTCAAGGGATAAGTATATACATGCGATCTTACCTACTAGATAAGGATGAAAAATAAGAATTAGTAGTAAATTTTATGATCTTTTTTTTGGTAAGGTAAATAAGATAGAAAATATAGTTCGCCTAAGATCTTATGTTACAAAGTCAAGGGTACTCACTAAACCTAATGCTTAGTATAATTATCCTAAGATCTTCCTTAACACAATGGATAATGCTACTAATTCCTCTCCAGAATGACAAAGCTTCTCCGTGGCTCAAATCATAAAGATTAAGATAATCATACTTCACATACTCTAAGCTTAAAAAATTTTAGAT